TATTATTCTAGGTGCCTAGATTTTTTTGGTAGGTGGTAAGTAAATTTAAGACTTGTATAAACATACCAGGCATGCTTAGTTTTTTTTTCTAGATTAATTTTATTTCATCAGGTAAACTCCTAGGATTATTTATAAAAAAACTTGTTGACACCAAGATTTGAGTAGTTCATGTGATTTATAAACATGTCACGTGACTCAATGTTTTTTAACCTTTTACCAGTCAAATCTTAGCTAAACTCGGGCCACACAGTGAAACTTTTAAACCTAAAAAAAAATTTTATTTTTGTCCTCATCTTGTATTTCAGTTCAATATAGGTTAAAAAAAACCTATGAACTCAAAAGTATACCTATATTTTTCACCAAAAACATTGCAACCAAATTTGATATTGTTGTGATGGTATTACTATGATTGTACAATACAGATCCAAGAAAAGATTTTGCAACTTTTTTCATATAGGGGGAGATAATTCAGACTTCATTATAAGAATTCATAAGGTAAAATTTTTGTCACCACTCGAAGTAATGCATATTTTCATGGAAATTTTTGTTCCAGGTATAGAAATTCACATTTATTATTAATTAGATGTAAATTATTCATATATAATTACTTGAATCTAGATTTTCGAAACCACAATTTGCTCTGTATTTTTAAGAAAAGAAACCCTTAAAAAAAGTTTGTTTTTGCAGTGGTCTCTGAAAAAAACCTGAACTTATATAAGTGTTGTACCTTTCATGTTATTTGGTTTCTTTGGACCACAACAAACACAATGGGATTTCAATGAAAAAATGTTCATACATTATCAAATTTAAAAAATATTTTTTACTGATTCTGACTGTACGATATGACTGTGCTTATGACATCATAAATCCAAAATGGCCAATATTTGAAAATGAAACTCAGATGTTAAATGTCTTTTGACATAAGGTTTATTTTGGTATTATTTTTATAATCTTTCATGATGAGATCATTATGGTCCCTTGAGTCACCTCATCTGTTAACAAAAAAATCGTTGTTTCTGTGTTGATATTTTCATCATAAGTAAATCTGTTGTTGAGACAAAAGCATTATCTTAGGTTTCAGAGGTGTATATTATGATAAAGTTAAAACTAGCACTTTCGTAATGTTATTAGTAGCATATCTTTGGTTTGTGTAAAAGGTAAATTTGTTCCCTGATAATAAATCTAACACATATTTGTGTTATCCATACTTTTATACATGTTATATGACAAGTCGTTACTGGATGTATTATTTTTACAATTACAATGGAGTGAAAAACCAGTTTTTTCATAGATTTGTTATTTACATGAACACTGAAAATGTTGCATTTGTCTTTTCACTTCATCTGTTTGTTGACTAACTGTCATTATTCTCTCTTCTTCTACATCTATAATAATAAACATCTGATTGTAATAATAATAATAATATAATTATAATAATAAACATTTGATTGTACTGTTAGAGATGATATCTGTAGCAAGGCTAAATGTTGTTATAACTCTACTAAATACAGTTGTGATTAATATCCAAAATGTATTCAAGTATGAATGTTTAAAAGTGTGATGTTTTGAACAAAAACTATCATATTAATATATACAATCTATTAAGTATAGTTTTAAAGACAGACACCGAGGTTAGTGAACTTATCTTCTAGATAGTGGAAGAGGGAATTATAAGATTAAAAAAATTTGTTAATTATATGAAATTTTATAAATTTTGATTACTAAAAATACATTCAATTTTAATCAAATTATGTTATAAATTTATAA